GAATGTATTTTATATAGAATGTGTGATATATTCTATATAAAATATTATTTGTTTCTCTAGATTGCATTTTTATATATTGGATTTTATATAGAATGGATTTTGTATAGAATGTATTTTATATAAAATGTATTTCATATAGAATGTATTTTATATAGAATGTATTTCATATAGAATGTATATCACATAGAATGTATTTTACATAAAATGTATTTCATATAGAATGTATTTTATATAGAATGTATTTCATATAAAATGTATTTCATATATTCTATATTTTATATAGAATATATTATATCTATCCTTTATATACTAAATACAATGTATTCCTCTAGAATGGATTTAATATACATTGTATTTTATATAGAATCTATTACCAATCCATTGTACATAGAATGCATTATATATTCTATATAATATATTCTATATAATATATTCTATATAATATATTCTATATAAAATATTCTATATAAAATACACGTCTTCACCTCGACTGTCTTTTTCATATCTTGGATTTTCTATAGGGTGTGTTACATATACATTCTATACGTTGGATCAAACATCACGTCCTCAAACCACCATTCATGCTATAGGATGCATAGCCTGTGTCCCTATAGAATAGTCAACATAGCACATTAACAACTCGTGTGTTCTATAGAATGTGTAGATTTGTGATTCGTTCTATACGTGCCAAACCTATAGGATCCGCAGCGTGCACAGTGCATTCCACTCCGTGTATGGCACGTGCAATGCATTTAATGTATAGCGTGCTCGAGGTGTTCCTATGGAACGTGCTCAGATAGGGAATGCGTTGGTATAGAATGCATTAATGTATAGAATGTATTAATGTATAGAATGTATTAACATATGACATATTAATGTATAGAGTGTATTCAAATATAGAATGTATTAATATACAACATATTAATGTATAGAATGTATTCAAACATAGAATATATTAATAGGTGCCATTTGAATGTATAGAGTGTATTCAAACATAGAATGCATTGATATATAATGTATAAATATACAGAATGTATTCAAATATACAATGTATATGCATATATGACATAATATGTGGAATGCATTCAAATATAGGGTGTATTAATATGTGACATGGTAATGTATAGAATGTATTCTATACATATTAATGTATAGAATTCCAATACAGAATGTATTGACATATAATGTATTAATATGTAGAATGTACTCGAATACAGAATGCATGGATTTATGACATGTTAATGTATAGAATGTATTCAAATGTGGAATGTATTAATATACAACATATTAATGTATAGAGTGTATTCAAATGTGGAATGTATTAATAGGTGCCATTTGAATGTATAGAGTGTATTCAAATGTGGAATGTGTTGATGTACAATGCATTCACATATAGAATGTATTAAAACACGGAATGCATAGATATATCATGTATTGATAGATAGAAATGTATAGATATATCATGTATTGATACATAGAGCGCATTCAAATCTGCAGTGCATTGCTATAGAATATATTCATATCTTAATGTATAGAATGCATTCAAATGTAGAATGCATCAATATATAATGTATTGATATATAGAAGGCGTTGAAATATGGAATGTATTGATATATCATATATTAATATATAGAAGGCATTCAAATATGGAATGCATTGATATAGAATGTATTCATATATAGAATGTATTCATGTATGATATATTCATATATAGAATGTATTCAAATACAGGATGTATTGACATATAATGTATTAATATATAGAATGTATTGCAATATAGAATGTATTGGCATATAAGGTATGAATATACGGAACGTATTGAAATATAGGATGTATTGATATAGGATGTATTAATATATAGAACGTGTTCAGATACACGGTGTATTGATACATAGAACGTATTGAAATATAGGATGTATTGATATAGGATGTCTACATATATAGAACGTGTTGTATTGATATAGAATATATACATATATAGAATGTGTTCAAATACATGGAACGTATTGATACGTAGAGCGTATTGAAATATAGAATGTATTGGCATATAGGATGTATAAATATATAGAATGTGTGTATTGATACATGGAACGTAGTGAAATATAGGATGTACTGATATAGAATGTGTTAATATATAGAATGTATTAAAAGGTAGAATGTATAGATATATCGAATGCATTCAAATATCGAGTGTGTTAATATACAACATATTAATGTATAGAATGCATCTCATGTATTAATATGCCACATATTAACGTATAGAATGCATTCAAATATCGAATGTGTTAATATGCCACATATTAATGTATAGAATGCATCTAATGTATTAATATGTGACATATTAATGTATAGAATGCATCTAATGTATTAATATGTGACATATTAACGTATAGAATGCATTCGAATATCGAGTGTGTGACTGTATAGAACCTGTGGTGGAATGCCGTGCTGTATAGACTGGATGCACACATGGAATGCCGTGATGTATAGAATGCCTTCAACGCATAGAGCCTATTCCCAACGTATGGCTGCACAGGCTCCCCTCCTGCATGGACTGCGCGCGTGGAACGTATGGAACGTATGGAACGGATGGAACGTATGGAACGTATGGAACGGATGAAATGTGTGGAACGTGTGGAACGGATGGAACGTGTGGAACGTATGGAACGGATGGAACGTGTGGAATGGATGGAACGTGTGGAATGTATGGAACGTGTGGAACGTGTGGAACGTGTGGAACGTATGGAACGTATGGAACGGATGGAACGTATGGAATGTATGGAACGGATGGAACGTGTGGAACGGGTGGAATGTGTGGAACGTATGGAACATGTGGAACGTATGGAACAGATGGAACATGTGGAACGGATGGAACGTATGGAACGGATGGAACGGATGGAACGTATGGAACGGATGGAACGGATGGAACGTGTGGAACGGATGGAACGGATGGAACGTATGGAATGTATGGAACGCCGCGTCCGTCCCATCCTATGGAACACGCTGCCGGGGCAATTCCCTGCGCTATACATCCACACGGCGCGTGGAAGGATGGATTCCATACGTCCCATATAGGGAGAAACGCTCCGGAGCTCCACGGGAATTTCCCGGGAAAAGCGCTCGGAATTCCCCGGGAAAAGCGCTCCGAACTCCGCGGGAATTTCCCGGGAAAAGTGCTCGGAGCTCCGCGGGAATTCCGCGGGAAATCACACCGGAGCTCCGCGGGAATTCTGCGGGAAAAGCGCTTGGAATTCCCCGGGAAAAGCGCTCCGAACTCCGCGGGAATTCCGCGGGAAATCGCTCCAGAGCTCCCCGGGAAAAGCGCTCCAGGAGCGGCTCCAAACCCGCGGGAATTCCGCGGGAAAAGCGCTCCAAACTCCGGGGAAAAAGCGCTCCGAGCTCCGCGGGAATTCCCCAGGAAAAGCGCTCCAAACTCCGCGGGAATTCCGCGGGAAATCGCTCCGGAGCTCCGCGGGAAAAGCGCTCCAGGAGCGGCTCCAAACCCGCGGGAATTCCCCGGGAAAAGCGCTCCAAACTCCCCGGGAAAAGTGCTCGGAACTCCGCGGGAAAAGCGCTCCAGGAGCGGCTCCAAACCCGCGGGAATTCCCGGGAAAAGCGCTCCAAACTCCGCGGGAATTCCGCGGGAAAAGCGCTCGGAACTCCGCGGGAATTCCGCGGGAGAAGCGCTCCGAGGCGCGGCCGCTCCGCTCATTAAGCGGCGGCAATTAGCGCCGCGGCCGAGCGCGGAATGCGTTCGCCCTCATCGAAATTCTCCTCGGCGCGTCCCTCACGACAGCCTTAGCGCGCCATTCATATGCAAATGAGCCCTAAAGAGGCTAATTACGCCTGGGCCCCGCTCGGCTTAACCCGCTGAGCACCGGCCTGGGCACCTGCGCAAGCAGCGCGGCTGTCTGGCTGGCCCCAAATTCCCTCTCCGTGCTCCCCAAAAATTCCCCTTAATCATCCCAAAATTCCCTCTCCGTGCTCCCAAAAATTCCCCTTAATCATCCCAAAATTCCCTCTCCGTGCTCCCCAAAAATTCCCCTTAATCATCCCAAAATTCCCTCTCCGTGTTCCCCAAAATTCCCTCTCCGTGCTCCCAAAAATCTCCTCTTAATCATCCCAAAATTCCCTCTCCATTCTCCCCAAAATTCCCTCTCCGTGCTCCCCAAAATTCCCTCTCCGTGCTCCCAAAATTCCCCTTAATCATCCCAAAATTCCCTCTCAGTTCTCCCAAAAATCTCCTCTTAATCATCCCAAAATTCCCTCTCCATTCTCCCCAAAATTCCCTCTCCGTGCTCCCAAAAATCCCCATAATTCTCCCCAAAAATCTGCTCTCCATCATCCCCAAAATTCCCTTTCCATGCTCCCAAAAATTCCCTTAATTCTCCCCAAAATTCCCTCTCCGTGCTCCCAAAATTCCCTCTCCGTGCTCCCAAAATTCCCCTTAATCATCCCAAAATTCCCTCTCCATCCTCCCCAAAATTCCCTCTCCGTGCTCCCAAAAATCCCCTTAATTCTCCCCAAAATTCCCTCTCCGTCATCCCCAAAATTCCCTCTCCATCCTCCCAAAATTCCCCTCTTAAATCATCCCAAAATTCCTTTTCCATCCTCCCAAAAATTCCTTCTCGTCCTCCCAAAATCCCAACCCGTGTCTGCCTGTTCCGGAAAACCCTCGGGAATTTTTGGGGATATTTTTAGGGATATTTTTAGGGATATTTTTGGGAATATTTTTTGGGGAATGAAGCCGCAGCTCCGGGGCTGGTGGGAATAATCTCGGAGAAAAACAGAATTTTCGGGAATCTTGCCACCCCAACAATTTCCCAAGGGAATTTTTGCTTTAAAATCCTGGGGAAAAAAAATGGGATTTGGCCAAAGCCCAAATCCCAGGTGGATTTTCCTGCTGAAAACCGGGATAAAAGATGAAATCCAAGGTGTGGATCGGGGGAAATTCCCGGGAAATTGGGGATTTTTGGGGATCAGCTGGAATTTGGGGTCGAGCACCCGGCATGGAGTATCCCACAAAACTATCCTGGTTTTCCTCCTCCTAATTCCTGATTTTCCTCTCCTCAATCCTGATTTTCCTCTCCTAATTCCTGATTTTCCTCTCCTCAATCCTGATTTTCCTCTCCTCAATCCTGATTTTCNTCCTGATTTTCCTCTCCTCAATCCTGATTTTCCTCTCCTAATTCCTGATTTTCCTCTCCTCAATCCTGGTTTTCCTCTCCTAATTCCTGATTTTCCTCTCCTCAATCCTGATTTTCCTCTCCTCAATCCTGATTTTCCTCCTAATTCCTGATTTTCCTCTCCTAATTCCTGATTTTCCTCTCCTAATTCCTGATTTTCCTCTCCTAATTCCTGATTTTCCTCTCCTCAATCCTGGTTTTCCTCCACCTCAACCCCAATATTCCTTCACCTGCTCAATTCTGCACCCCAATCCCATTCCCATTCCCATTCCCATTCCCATTCCCATTCCCATTCCCATTCCCATTTTCCCATCCCCATTTCCCACCTCCCCGCGCCGTTCCCAATTAAAATTCCAGCCTCCATTGCCGGGATCCCGGGATTCCCGTTCCGTTCCCACCTTTGTGGCACCTTTCCCAGGAAACCCAATCCCGGCAGCTCCGGCCTCCCATTCCCAAATAATTCCCAAATAATTCCCAAATAATTCCCAAATTCCGGCGGCGAAAAACCCCAAATAATTCCAAACCCCCAAAATTTCCATTCGTGCTCCATAAATCCCAACGGATCCGAGGCGCTTTTCCCCCCCCCACTCCTTCAGGATCCGGAATTTTCCCTCCTCGCCCCAAATTCTCCCGGATTTGGGAATTTTTTTTTTCCTGTTGATTTCCCTGCAGAGAATTCCCGGAATTTTCCTCGGAATTCCCGAGGAAAAGCTCGGAATTCCGGCTTTGGCTCACCTGGTGGCAGCCCTGCAGGTTGGAATCTCGGCCATACGACGAGTACGAGCCTCGTTCCGTTTTACCTGGAGAAAAAAAAAGAGGGAAAATCCCGATAAAACTCCGGGAAAACGGGCTGAGCCAAGCTCATGAAAGGCGGGATAAAGCTCCTCGCGCTGGAAAAACGGGAATTGTCCCGTGGAATTCCGAGGTGCCGCTGTCAGCCTCAGCGGGGCGCTGGGAATGGCGGGAGCGCGGGGCCAGCCTTCGGCCTCGCTCCTGCTCGCTGCCGTCCCCTCTCCCAGTTCCAGTTCCCAGTTCCCAGTTCCCGATTCCCAGTTCCCAGTTCCCAATTCCCAGTTCCCAATTCCCAGTTCCCAGTTCCCGATTCCCAGTTCCCGATTCCCAGTTCCCAGTTCCCAATTCCCAGTTCCCAGTTCCCAATTCCCAGTTCCCAATTCCCAGTTCCCAGTTCCCAGTTCCCAATTCCCAATTCCCATTCCCTCTCCCAATTCCCAGTTCCCAATTCCCAACTCCCAATTCCCATTTCCCGTTCCCTCTCCCAGTTCCCAATTCCCAATTCTCATTTCCCATTTCCTGTTCCCTCTCCCAATTCCCAATTCCCAATTCCCAATTCTCAATTCCCAATTCCCATTTCCCGTTCCCTCTCCCATTTCCCATTTCCTATTTCCCAATTCCCATTTCCCATTCCTCATTTCCCATTTCCTGTCCCAATTCCCATTTCCCATTCCCCTCTCCCATTCCCCATTTCCTATTTCCCAATTCCCATTTCCCATTCCCCATTTCTCATTTCCCATTCCCCATCCCCCATTTCCCCCTCCCATTCCCATTTCCCATTCCCCATTTCCCATTCCCCATTCCCCATTTCCCATTTCCCATTCCCTCTCCCATTTCCCAATTCCCATTTCCCGTTCCCTCTCCCAATTCCCATTTCCCATTCCCCTCTTCCATTTTGCATTTCCCATTTCTCATTTCCCATTCCCTTTCCCATTTCCCATTTCTTCTCCCATTTCCTATTTCCTATTTCCCAATTCCCATTCCTCATTCCCCATTCCCATTCCCCATTCCCCTCTCCCATTCCCCATTTCCTATTTCCCAATTCCCATTTCCTCTCCCATCCCCATCCCCATCCCATTCCC